TAATTTCCGCAAGTTATAAACTGTTAGATGTTTGGTAATAGGGAATGCATGACAATATTAATCGTTCAAAACCTAAAATCAATATAGATCACCTATGACATGTATAAAGACAAAATTAACTGAAAAACAATACACTCGCACATGCGCACTCTTAGGGTACACCTCACTTGGTTGCCTTCGAACGCGATCATTGAGTATAGGAAGTTTTAGAGGTCGCCCTCTTGTCCAAAGATCATAGTTGCCTCGAAACGGTTGCCTCAGAAAAATGATCTAAGACATTAGGGTTACTTCTAAGGCGTCCTAACATTGCTTTGGTGACCACACGTCCCTTAATCGAATTGACCCTTAAACTCCAACAACGATGCTACCTACTCATCAATAGTGGGATAACATTGTCTAAAGGGGATTAGCGCAAATTTATTCTTTTTTCGAGTAGGTAGATGGTTCTTAAGTACTTGCTCTTTTCCAAACAAAATGAAACTTTTCGCACTTACACTCCTTTCAAACAAAAAATTCTTTCAAACCCACAAACACAAAGAAAAACAAATTTTGAAAACACTTTGAGCAAGTACCTAAGAGCCCGTGGATAACCACGGATAGAAAGGGTGCTAACACCTTCCCTTTCTATAATTTACCCCCCGGACCCGAGAAACATCTCGAAAAAGGAATTTTTCTGTGCTTTTTTTCTTTCCTTGTTGGATAAAATAAAAGACGGTGGCGACTCTTGCTTACCGCGACATTTTGCAAAAACAAACGCAAAACGCGAACCAGCATTCAAAAAACAGTCAGTTCTCTCCCACCGTATCACAAGGTGGATCTTCTTACTTCTCCTTATGCTATCCTTAGCTTTGTGGTGGAATTTATGCCTTTTCTCGACCAGATCATTATTGACATTGCTAGGAAGAATGATGCATTGATCAAGATGCAACCTAAACAACAACTTCAATCGCAAGAGTGAGATTTGGCCAACAAATCTAGGATCAAAGTCAAGGAGCTAGAGAAGGCCCTTCAATAAGAAGAATAATTTGAATCTTGCGTTGCATATATCATGAAGTGGAAGCAATAGATCAAAGAGTTGCAGGCCAAAGTGAAAAAGTTTGAAGGTTGTCAGGTTGAGATACGCACTACCGTTGGATGTTGAAACTATGATCAAAGTCCAACACTTTGAAAAGTTCAAGGATTTGGATGTATAACTTAAAAGTTTCACCTCTTCCTTCTCATTAGCTGATTGTCGACTCAATGCTACAAATGACCAATATAACAAGATCAAGGCTTCTTTGCCTTTTTAGAATTTACGCTATTGTCTTGATTATTTTTTTCTCTACAAGTTTTTTCAGACAATTGTTTTGTAATCTCAAATATGCCTTTCATGGCATTTCGAAACTCATACTGAAATCTTTAGCCATTTCAATTCTGGAGCACACGTTTTATTCTCCATTAATATTTATTTCCTACAATACAATTCTATATCTTTCTTTTTTATTTACCATTAATTCGCAGGTTTGACCCTCAGGGGTTAGTTCTTAGACCTCATAAGCATTGTTAGTAAACGCTTGTAATATTCTAAAATGTTCTTCCCAATAGGGGACCATTTACCCATGGTTTGATCCTTCTTATCCATAGGCAAGATAACTTTCCACACTAAGTCCCCTAGGATAAAGTTTTTTTATTTAAATTTTTTAGTGTATGCTTTGGCTACTTACTCTTTCTGTTAAATTAAAACATCTAAAACAACCAATCTCTCTTCATCTAAGTCAGCTACCTCGTTGAACATTATCCCCAAATAATATTATGTGGTAATTTCAGACTGCCTTTGAATTCTAACTGACTGCAAATGTATCTCCAAAGAAAGTACTACATTGTGCCCATAAGACAGTCGAAAAGGCGTGGAGTTAGTCGACTCTTTAGGAGAATTTCGACATGCTTAACATGTTTTTTTAATAAATCTGATTATAATTTTATTGGCCACTTCGACTTGGCCATTAGCTTGGGAATAATAATGTGTTGAGGTTAATAACTTGAACCCCATTTCTGAAGCAAACTTTACCATTTTTCACCCTGTGAAGACTTCCCCTTGATCAGTAGCGATAGTCTCGGGTATTTCAAATCTATGTATAATATGATTCTGAATGAATCCTATCACTTCTTATTGGTCAAAATTAGGTAAAACAACAACTTCTATCCGTTTGGTGAAATAATCGATTTCAACCAATATGTATATATGTCCTTTTGACGATGAAGGATTAATTTTGCCTATTATATCCAATGCCAATCCCCTAAAAGGTCATGGTTTAACTATATAGTGTAGCTCACTCACAGGCACATGTTAGATCCTTGATTGCTTTTGGCATTCCTGCATCCTTTGGCAAAATCTTCTAATCATTTAACATAGTCGACCAATAAACTCCTAGTCAAAATAATAACCACCTCATTTTTTGCCTGCTTAATGGGAACCACGTGATCCTTAGTGTACCTCAGAAGCTATTATGTATGCTTTGCTTTCTCCAAGGCACTTAAGAAGGATTCCCTCAAGAGTTTTCTAAAATAGCTCATTCCCTATAATCATGTAACTTAGGTCTTTGTTCTTAACTATTTGATATGTCGATCCTGTTAGGTTTCCTAAGTATTCGATTACGGGTTTTCGCCAATCATTATCTATCATATTGTCAATGGAAAAAATTTCTAAGACTTCAAAATCTTTGAAATATCTATAATTTATTAAATCTTTGAAATATCCATTTAACGTCAACTCCCGTGGAGTTCTAAACGTCGCTCATGTTCAATAAAACCTCTGAACTCCATTTGACGTCAACTCCTGTGGAGCTCTAAACGTCGGTCATGTTCAATAAAACCTCTGACCTCCATTTGACGTCAACTCCTGTGGAGCTCTAAATGTCGGTCATGTTCAATAAAACCTTTGACCACCATTTGATGTCAACTTCTGTGGAGCTTTGAACGTCGGTTAGGTGAGTAAATGTCCTTGACCAATATCACATCGACGATTTTCTATCCAGAGCACACACAAGAGCTTATGTATAATCGAAGGTTAACAATAGAAGCACATACATAACAATAATGACATATTATGAAGGCCTTAATAGGGCTCAAATACTGTGTGTAGCCTCATTAGGGCTTGAAACATTGCATTTAAACATTGTACTTAAACAAGAAAAATAAGAAACTATCCAAGCATTACAAAGGTACCTTGGATGACTAACGACAAAACGGTTGTGAATCAATGGTTTACCGAGGTCCTTTAAAGAGCGAAGCAATATTTTCTTAGGCTTTTCCAAACTATAAAAATCTCCAGGATTTAGTTAATACTAATAGTCGAAAACTCACATGAACTATTACAATCCTAATAGCAAGGCCAAGCATTGGCGTAGTTAAAACGAAACTACAATAGGTCGAGATTCCACTAGAGCTCTCCGACTTCTTTATGTCTAGAACCTACCCGGTTCTATGACGCAAATAGGTTGAGATCCCACTAGGCCTCTCAGACTTCTCTATGTCTAGAACCTACCCGACTCTATGACTCCTATACATCGCAAATACACTAAGGTTCTCAGACTGCTTTTGACTTTATTAAAAATGTAAAATTTCCCAACTTCCATTTTGAATCTTACGGGAATGGGTCCCTCATGGAAACCACGAGTTTACTTGAAGTTTATTCGATTATGATAAGTTTACGTGATCCAGGATAAACTAAAAAAACACTTCACCTTTACAAGCCTCATGGTTTGGGGATTTATGTAAATCCTGAAATTTTTATGAGATCAAACGAAGACTTATGGACTCAATTATCGTGTTCCCAAAAGACTGTCTAAAATAGAGTCGTTATGGACAATCAAATGGCCAAACAAATTACAAAATACCAATAGTCGAATTCGTTAAAAAGTGACTAATAAATGAGGCAATTACAAATAATTAAAATAAATTAATTATATTTTTTAATATTCATTAAACATGACTAGACTATAAAGAGAAGGACCAAGAAATAACACTTGAAAAACACAGATATACGTAAAAAAAAAAACTAAATTTATACCAACATTTTTAGATATACAATATTTTTCATTAAATAAAACCAAATTTAATTATCAAATAAAATATTAATCGTCAACTTATGTATCCAATACATTTATTTTATTTCTATTAAAAAAATGCTATAATATTCTTTCTTTTTGTGAAAATAAAAAATATAAATAACATTCTCAAACAATATATCCATAATTTTTTAAAATATTATTTTTATTAATTTCTTTTACAGTATTTATGACAATTAAATATGAATTAATTTTTCATGATTAGCCAACTTAATGGATAGTTGTACTGAGATTTAAAATAATCAATCACATGAAAATAATGATCTCTGATTTTTATTATAAGATAAAATTGATTTGTTTTTTAGATATATTAAATGATGAATGTATTTGAACTTTATATGAACTAAATACATTAATTATTTAATATATTTAAATATATTTTTTATATAATTAAAGATACAAAAATAATTATAATTAAAGTCAAAAAATGTCTTTGTTATAATTAATTAGTTATATAATTTTCAAATACTAATAATATTTTTTGGATGAAGAAATAAATAAACTAATATATATTAAATTATTATTTTTTGGATAAAGAAATAAATGAAATTAGTAAAACCACATACATATTGAGCACACTGGTATTCTCTGTTGTTTCTAAAAAGCACACCGGTGGTATTGCTTTCAATGTGCAAAGAAATGAAGGTTAAAATTCCTTTACTAGAAATTATTTTTCCACATAGAAAAAGAAACAACAACGCACATGGTATAGTAGGTAAGTTATCATTGGGAACCGAATCATGGATTAAGACTGAATAACATTTTTCTATTTATATATTTCAAATCCTTTACCTTTTCTCTCTCAATTCTATCCTCTCTTAATTCTTCACTCCAATATTTTCCACCCAAATTCCCTTTCCTTTTTTTTCTTCTTCTTTTCTTCTCCTATTCATAATGTGGCCAGAATGGATAAGTTCACGGCGTCACCGCCGCGATTCGCCACCACTGTCACGTTCACATTCTCTATCTCGCGCCGTGGACTTCTCTTGTTCATCTTTGAAAGACATTCATACCATTCTCAAAGACAACCCTAGTCTAGAGCCAAACAGTCTAAAATCTCCTTCGTTATTCCGTCGAATCCGCATCTCCACCTCCGTCCTCCGCGCCTTAGCCGCTTCTCACACCGCTCCCACACCGTCTCCCAAACTCGATCCATCTCCATCTCCATGCCTGGACCAACCTATAGTCGTCTACTACACAAGCCTCCGCATCGTCCGCCGCACCTTCGACGACTGCCGCGCCGTCAGATCGATTCTCCGATGCTTCCGCGCCGCCATCGACGAGCGTGACGTCTCGATCGACGATCGGTTCCGCGATGAGCTCCACGAGATTCTAGGTCGGAAAAATGTGACTCTCCCTAGGGTTTTCATCGGTGGTGTTTACGTCGGCGGCGTTGAGGAGGTTAAGCTAATGCTCGAAAACGGTAGACTAAGCCGTTTGATCGAACGGTTACCGAAGAGTAATCACATAGGTTGTGATTGTTGTGGAGGGTTCAGATTCGTTATGTGTGATGAGTGTAACGGAAGTCATAAAGTGTTTACGGAGAAAAGTGGTTTTAGAAGCTGTTCATCTTGCAATTCTAACGGATTGATTAGGTGCCCCGCATGTTTCTTCGTGCTGCCGCGACACACCAAATTGATTGCTTAGTTTATCAGTTAGTCACAGCTAAAAAACAACTCAGCAAATAGAATCAAATTGAATAACTGAAAAAAAATACTACTTTTTTTGTATAGTCAAAAGTCTGAATTCTATCATTTCTGTAATTTTAGGAATTTTAAGATTCTTAAATTGAAGAGGATGTGGATGTAATCAAATATTCAGAAACATATATACTCTCTTGGTAGTATAAATGACAACTCTTTTTATTATAACAACCACAATAATATTTAAAAAAAGTCTGCATAATTATTTCTCTCTATAAATGTGAGAAAGAAAAGAGTTCACATTCGCAATAATATTCAAACATTTATTTCAAAGAGGAATTGGACAAAATTTGAACTACCGTTAAAGAATCAGTTTCAATAAAGTTCTTGTCAATGATTCTCCGAAGCAACTGTGCGTAATCACTGCCTTGAACTCAGCTTGAATAGAGGAGGGACTTAAGTCTCTATGACTATTCTTAAAAATACCACCACGCCCCCGAAGACTGAGTATCATGGTTGTAATTACCATCACAATTACATTTTAACAAATCCATGTGAAGAATCTGTCAAGTCACTTCCTTAAAGGTAAGAGCTCTAAAATAGTGAATCTTGATGTCAAAAGCTTTGAGAAGAGTAAAGTCGGGAGGTGGCAGCCAAGGTTTAATTGCTATCTGAGATAATAGCTTGCGCTTTTATACTTACAGTTGTGTTGTTGGTTGAAATAAATTTGTTTCCATATCAAGTAGTGTTTCTAGCTAAATCGATCCCATTAAGAACAATTAAGGTTGGTCCGAGGACATTTGTGGATTGAGGAAACTTGCTCAAGCCAATACTCCAAAGCTCCTCCAACCGAGTAAACCTACTTGGATCTTGACATTTTATTAAACCAATGCCACATTTTTGTGATAATGCAAAATTATATCGTATATTTGATTTGACTTGCATAAAATTTAGTTTATTTTTCTCTTGTTATGTCAGTATTATTGTCCTATTCTAAGTATATTGAACAAATTGGGAGATTCAAGTAAAAAAAAGAAAAGAAAATAAATAAATTCAAGAAAGATGGTAAAAGAGCAACAAGGGATGGAGCATTAGCAACAAAGAAAAAATTACAAAACTCAGACCCATTTTATAGAGAAGAGGCGCCCACCAGTGTGGCCCCTGCCACGCTTAGTGGCGCCCACCACTTCCCTTAAGTGGCGTCTAACATCCATAACGTGGCTCTTGCCACTCTAATTTCTTAAGTGGCGTCTGCCACCTACCTTTGTGGCCCCCGCCACGAAACCTCATCTCTACACTTTTCTCTAACCATTCACTTTCTTTTTCTCTTCTGGAAATCCCTTCACTTTCGTCTTCTCTAGTCAACATAATTGTCCTAAACGCAAGGGAGTTTGCACTATAAAAGAGAGAAGACGGTTACAGTGAGGGCCTCATTAATTTCTCCGCAATCAGAGCTTATTCTTAGATTTCTTTTTAGGCATTTAAATTCACCGTAAATAGTGATAGATCTTCCACATCGGGGGACCATTGCAACCTTAGATTTAAAATTTATTTTGTGTTTTCAATTCCCGTACCGAAGTATTTCAATCTTGCCGACATAGTTGGGATTTTGTTCGAGCATTGTACGCGAAGTATTTTTCTAGAATTTTAATCAGAGATAATTTTGTTCCAGATTTTATTTCACTTACAGTTTTAGTTTTAATTATCGTTTTAATTTCATTCCAACATTGTTATGTTTTCTGAAATAGTTTTATGTTTAATGTCTACTAATTGTACTTGCATGTTAGTTTGTAAGACCATGTCCGACTATGTAATTAGATATCGATATGTAAAATTAGTCGAACGGAAGGGATTCAAAAATCTATTGGGGTAAATATTTATAAATTATTTTTCTGGTCTAGTTTCTAATTCTAAGACTACTTGCAATGGGGGTGTTGAATAAATTTTTCAATAGTTGAATTGTTTCAATGGATTGTTGAATAAGGTGTTAAATGTGACATGAATTAATTTGTGTTGAAAATATTCAACCCGTTGAATGAGAAATGAGTGGGTGCCACTTATAATACTTTGCAAAATATAATTGGTTGTTGTGATTGTTTATATTTTTATCTCACCTAAATTATTTGGAGTCAATTATTTTATAGAAAATCAATTATTTATTTATTTTTATTTTCACCAAAATTCATTTTTTTTGTCTATAAATAAAGTCTTGGTTCATTTGATTTGGACAAAGAAAAAAAATCTATTTTTTCTCTCTAATTTTTTTATTTAGCCTCCAATAAATTATTGTTTGTAGCTCTAAACAATTTTTTAGTGAAATGAATCCCAACAATAGCCCTCTTATAATAAAAAAAAAACAAAAACATAAAAAAGAAAATAAAAATATGAAATAAAAGTGGTGGGGTAAGGTGTTGAATTTTATTAAACAAAACCATTGCAGTGAGGAAAAGTTGAATGAATATTGAATTATTAGGTGGAAGAGAGAGAAGATGATGTGGAGTGTAAAACATAAGAAAAATGGCTGTTGAATAATTTTGTCATTGTAGATAGTCTAATTAAAATAACTTTGTACGAGAGTAAAAAACAAACAAAGATTATAATCAATAAAGCGAGAGTTTGAGATTTTAATCGGATAGTAAAAATTAGACATTAATTTTAAACACAGCGAGAGCACTTTAGGATTAATTAGAATTTATTGGTTTTCAAAAAGTACTTTTGAATTCAAATGAAACTGCGGGAGCAAAATATTTTGGTTTAAGAGTATAGTCAGAGTCAATAACACGAGAGTGTGAGATAAGGTCTTTTAAGTCATTATTTTCTACTGAAAAATATTTTCACATTTAAAACTACGCCAATGATTTGGTAATAAAGTGGTGGAAATAGTTGGTAGTAGAAGGTAGCAGGTTTACCAATTTAAACACAAGTAACCATTAGATTGAAACTAATATGTATGTAGTAGGACAATAAAATTGACAGGAAGTATACTTGTAGCAGAAAGTAATAAATAGCAATCTGATAGTTTTTGACAGAAAACAACATTTGCAGTATAGACTATTCAATAATAGTGTAGTATTAATTTAACCGAGTCGTATAAGAAGTTTAGTATAAAATAGAAATAATAGAACTTTTGGCCGATAATTAATTAATCGATTTTAGTCGAAATAGTCCGAATAATTACGCAGTTTTATTTGTAGCAATTTTTGGTTGATTCGTTGTATTGTGTTCTTCGTTAAAAAATGTGAATTTGTAGGTGATGTTATTGCCTCTATTTATTGGCTAAAACTAAGTTGCAGGCTTATGGCCAATGTTGAATTAAGTCAAATTATTATTTGTTGTTGTTGTTGTTGTTATTACATTCATGTTGGTAATGCATACATAGTATGTCATGTTGGAGCTGATGCTCGTTAAGTTGACTTGGATTGGAAAATATAAAGTTGAAGGCTTATACCTTGTTGATGCCTCTATTTATTGGCAGATTTCTAAGTTGGGAGTTCTGCTCCGTTGGTACCACATGCATGTGCATAAAAACGAGTCACATTTCATGTTGCATCCTGAGTTGTTGTGTGGATGAATTAATTATATTAAATGTTGATAAAAAGAAGTGAAGTGGTGAATTGTATGATCTAATACTAATATATTATTTATTGTATTGTTGACTTAACATTCATGTGCATATGCATATCTTAAGTTCATCTTTGTGTGTTTACCTTTTGTATATTACCCTTGTAATTGTTTGTGTTTATCCTTGTACCTATAAACCCTAATTTCAAACTTAAACCTCTTTCGTATAAAAAACCTTGTCTTTATGTCATTGCATTTTCAAACTTACTTTCTTTAACAAAATTCTTCAATACACTTAAGCATATTAAACTCCTTTCAAAAGACTAAAAAAGATTTAACCTCACCCAAATTCTTTTGCCACTTGTCTTTTCAGTTTAAAATTTCTCTCTCAAGGAATAAATATAAATCCTTTTCATAGTAGAGATGTAATTATCTTATCCCCATAGTAATTGTTGAAGTAAATGTGATTCTTTCCACTTGAGGGAGCTAGAGGCAACTTGTTGATTTTATATCCTAGTTAAGAGTCATTCTGTCACGATAATGCAAGATTCATCTTCTCATACTTGTGGTGGAATTAGTTGAGTATTCTTCTTAAGATGATGAAATGTCTCTTCTCATAAAAACAATCACAACAAACCCTTTTGTTATTTTTACCATGGACTACGAGGTTTTGATCCTTCATCGATATGTAGGTATAATACTTTGTCTTTCCAAACAAACGTATAATAAAAATATATTTCTTTTCCCATCTCCATACTCATTTAGAAAACAATCAGTTTTAACCAAAAGAGCATATATTACAAAAGGTTCATATAGAGTACTATAGATACATAGGGCGATAATACCTTCCATTTATATAAACAAACCCCCGTACCTTAGATCTCTTCTTATTACTTTACCTTTAGTTTTTTTACTTCTTGCGTTGCATGTTTAAAAATAGGGTTTTGATATTTTCCCTTTTCCTTAGAAATAATAAAGTTCGGTGGTGACTTCTTAATTTGTGATTCAAGTTAGTCAATAGCTTGATCTCCTGATTTTTCCCTGCGACAGGAAGGAGATAGAAAGACAAAATAATTTCACAGGCTCACCAAGATAAGTAATTCCATAAAGTTGATTCATTCATTGAAAGTGGGGGATTTTCTTGTCACGAATCCATAGAAGATAGCTGAGCATGTGGGGGATCGCTACAAAATTTTATTTAACAATGTTTCTATTTTGCAGGATAATTCTTTAGTGGAGGAAGTAATCCCTCATCTGGCTACCAATCAGACCAACTCTTTGCTAATTATGCTTCCTTATATTGAGGAAATATACAACGCCACCTTTAGTTTAGAGAAGGACAATGCTACTAGTCCATATGGTTTTGGCTCCCTTTTCTACCAAACTTACATGAGGGTGATCAAAGATGATGTTGTCAAAGCTACTTTGCAATTATTTAAGGAT